TTAGTGAACTGGTTGCTCTACTTCTGATCCAACTCCCTGCTAGTGTGTCTGGGGAAACAAGGGAAGACAGCCCTAGTGTTATGTCCCTGTACCCAGTGGGAGACCTGGAGGAAGCTCCTGCCTCCTGGCTTAAGGCTGGGCTATCCCAGCTCTGGTGTCTGAATCATTTGGGGAGTGAACTGGCAGAGGGAAGGGCTCTCTTTCTGTATCTCCCCACCCGCCTGTAACTTCACCTTTCAAATAAAAAAAACACTAGGGGACTCTGAAACTAGAGATTTTAGTTAATAATAAAGCACCAATGTTTACTTGTTAATTGTAGCAAATGGACCTTATCAATGTAATACATTAATAACAGGAGAAACTGTGTACAGGAAAGAGGATAATATAGGGACTCTGTTCACTATCTTTTCAGTTTTTCTAGATATTGAAAACTATCCTGGGTCCAGTATGATGGCTCAGTGTCTAAATCCTTGTCTTGCAAGCACCGTGGGCCCATATGGTTCATGTCCCAGCTGCTCACTTCCCACCTAGCTCCCTGCTTATGGCCTGGGAAAGAAATCGAGGATGACCCTGCATTCATGTGGGAGACCTGGAAGAAGATCCTGGCTCCTGGCTTCAGATCAGCTCAGCTCCCGTTGTTGCAGCCACTTAGGGAGTGAGTGTGTGGATGGAAGATCTTTCTGTTTCTCCTCTCTGTAAATCTGCCTTTCCATTAAAAACAAAACTGTCCTAAGAATAAGATTTATTTAAACAGCCTAGAGGGAGTGCAGAGGTCAAATATTGTGTCTCTTGCTAGCCGTGGCTAAGCAGGCTTCCATGAATCTATACCTGCCAGCCAGGGGGTTTTGCCTATAACATCCTGATCTAGGAAGTGGGTCTCTGACTTGGGATAAGAACCCGTCCCAGCCAGCACCTTTATCAGAGCTTCATGAGGCTCTCAACAACAACAACCAGATAAGATATACCTGGAATTCTGATTCAGGAGAGATAGTAAATGACTTTTGGTTTAAGCTGCTAAAAAAAAAAAAAAATCAACCAAAACACAACAGCACAAACTTTTCCAAGAGAAACAGGTATGCCCCCAGGGGCCTCGTTAAATTGGGTGGCCAAGGAAGCTCCTTCTGGGGAATAGCTGAGCTGGAATCTGAATCCTTGGAAAGATTCATTCATGGGGCACTTCAGAGAAAGTTCTACCATCAAAGGGATTGACTCATTCCAGGGCTTTGAAGGGAAACATGTGTTCCAGGCCAGAGGAGGAGCTGGCATGCTTGGAGGGAGAAGGAGCAGGCAAAGGAACGGGAAAGGTGAGAGAAGTAGAGTATACAGGGCTTCTAAGGAAGGAGGTGGAATTTGGATTTTCCTTGAAGTTCATCTAGGAGCCAGTGAACCACTGAGAGTGAATGAGTGACACGTAGGATTCACAATTTCAAAAACTATGTACCTGCTTGGGTCAGGGCTGAGTGCATGGCGGCAGAGTAGAGGTGGGGGTAGCTAAGGAGGGGCTCCAGCTGGAACGTGGGCCTGAGTGGAACAGATGATGGGTGCATTCCCCAGGAGGTGGGAGAGGGGTCGTGATGGTGTGGCCTTGGACTGAGATGCTCACACTCATGTCCACACCATGGCTCTGAGGCGCATCCCACAAGGGACCCACAGCAGTCAGAGCAGCCGCCGGCTCCCTTGCCATGCAGTCTCTCCTGCATGTCATCTTGTTCCTGAGCTTCTGAATATCAATGATGATTCATCGAGACAGTGGCTGGCACCCAAATGGTGCCTGTGCCAGTCCGGGTGATATCCTCCCCTGGAGGCCTTGCCAAAAGGGTAACTGTATCCCATCAGCCACCCCTAGCCTCCTGGCCTGACAAAGCTGCCCACTTAATTAAGCATTTCCTCTGGGTTGAATGTTAATTAAACCGTTTGTTTTCAGTTATCTCTGAGGGTGCAGGATACCCCCTCTTTAACCTGGAAATTGTGAAAATTGGAACAGGGAGCGCCCTCTGCAGGCCATCTTCCTTCACATGGAAACAAAAGGGATGAATACAATTCTCCCACTTTAATGTTGGCTTTGATGGTTCCATCTACCGTCAGTGGAAGCTCCATTTTTCAATTGTATCTTTCTCAGGTTCTCTGCCTTCTCCTCTTCCACCTGATCACTGCACCCAGCCCTGGTCAGCTCTGTACAAGATAATAGTTGCCTGGTGGTCCCTACTAGCTTGTCTTAGAGCTGATGAAACTGCTTGGGCACCTCTCTGTACCCAGTTATAAAATCCTGCAAGCCCTATACTGACAGCAAAGGCAGCGGGGTCTTTTGGTCCTACCTTGCAGAAAATAGCTGTGATTTGAATGAATGATTGCTTTGTCATGTTCAGAAGTAGTTGTCACAGGTGATCGACACTCCAAGTTCAATTGGTCAACCAAGTTCAATTGGTCAACCCCAGAAGATTGATCTCAAGACAGCAAGGATTGGTTAGGCTCTGGGTAGGGTGATGTTGAAGTGTCTCTTGAATACAGGGGACTCTGGAAGTCAAGGTGTCATTTCTGGGTTGGCACCTCAACCCTCAGGTTAGTTTAACTCCCTCTGCTGAGCAGGGACAGGGGAAAGAGCTTCCATTCTAAACTAAGCTCACAGGTCAGCAGGTGGCAGCTGCCCTGGGCTTCCGGACTCCCATGACTGTGTCCAGCCCAGGCTTCGTCTTCCCCAAAAAAGGATCCCAAATCAAGGCATCAACAGGGACTGGCTTCTGTTGGTACCTGGTCTGAGAGCATCCACAAGTCAAGGAAGCTACCAGCAGAAAAAGAAGGCTCCGTGGTCAAGTTCATCTCCAAGACCAGGAAAAATGAGAGGTGGGAAGAACTTTAAAGTTCATCTGTTCCATTGGTTCTCCCCTCTGGCTGCATGTAAAGATTATTTGAAAGTCTTATGGTGGAAAACCATTACCTGGGCAAAGGGTGAACAAAGCTCCCTCCCATTCACCATGCAGGGAAGAGCCTCAGGTTCCCATGTAAACTAAGTCTTTCAGATTATTTTCCCCTGAGCCCCAAGGGTCTAACAGGTGCCTCAGCAGTCAGAAGCTGGGGCTCCAGGTACCTCCTCTCACTGTCTACCCCTTCACCTCTGGGAGCCTGTGTACTCCAGGTTTCAGATGGGTGTTACATATTACCCCATTGAAACCCCCTTCCCTGGTGACTGCAACGATGGGCCTAGCCACTGCCACTCAATTCTGGCCTGTCTGGCACAGTGGTACATTGCTGGGCTGGAGAGGGTGAAGAGGCCAATCACACTCGCTTTTCTTCTGGAAGCCAATTCAAGCAGTCCGGAGGGAAGTCTGCAAAGAGTTGAAAGGTCCCGAAGCCTCAGCGCCCGGGCGTGAAGACTGATGTAGGAGAGAATGTGCCCAGGAGTCACAGATGCCAGCACAAGGGTGGAGATGAAAGGAAGAGGCCCAGGAGGAAGGCTTGCCAGATTCTTGTTCAGCCTGAAGCCTGTTTGCTCAGCTTTTCCTGCCTTCCTGGGAGACTCTCCGGAGCCTTAGGAAAGCCTTGCTGGAGCGGGGCTGGTCTTTGTACTTCCAGGAGTCTTAGAGAGAGCCCACAGTACAAACGAGCTGTTTCACTTTTATCTTTTCACAATCTGCGGTTCACATAAGCACTGGGACTCCAAGGGGAAACAGAAAGGATTCCACCGCTGAAATAGAGCGTGAGATCATTCGGCTGGTCTGCTGGCTGGCTTCACTGAAGGCCACAGGGTAGCACAGGGAAGCCAGGATGGTCTGGCCAGCCTCCAGCCCTGTCTGCATAGGAGACCTGGAGAGGTGTGGGGACAGCCAGGGAGAATCTCCACATTCCCATCCCTCCCCCAGAACCTGTGTTCCAACTACAAGTGTGAGGCCCCTAAGGCTGCATCTCTGGCAAGGGATGATCTTGACTTCCGGGGAGGCAGAGCTTGGTGGGTGGGGACAGGTGCATGCTTCTTGCGGGACCCACACTAGTTTCAGGAACAGAAAGGCAGTGCTTCTAGGGAACAGGGCAAGCCTTCAAGCATGAGGCCAAGCCCTATGGTCTCTTCCCATCCCACCTGCCAGAACTTGCTGGCGCACCCAGAGGATCAAGCTTCCCCTTTGCCTAACCTGCCCTGTAGACCAAAAATCAGCAGAGCCCCACTATGCCACCTCTTACCTCTGCTCAGAAGCCCAGGACCTAGACTCTCACAAAAGGGGCCAGAGATGGGGTATGCAGTCCAACTGACATTGGATACTTCGGATTCCCTTTGCCCAAGTTCACATCCCCCTCCACCCCACTCACCAACATTAATTCATGTATTTATTTTCCTCTAAGGACCAGACTGGTATAGACACAGTCCCATGGTGCCCCTGGGTCTGGACTGAGGCTTAAGCCAGGAGACTGAAAAGCATATTTCAGCTCTAGTGGGCAAACAGGAGGCATCAGTGGATCTGTTCCTGTCCTGCTCTGGACTTATCCTGACATGCAAACCCTGTAAAGGGGCCCTGTATTGGTTCCCTGGCCACGGCAGGAATAGAGTGCCGCAGGTAGGAGGAGTCCTGTCCCACTAGCTCTGCTTTGGTTTTGGAATGCCTTATTTGACACAAGAGAGGCATTAAGGTCTCTAAGTCAGGGTGAAGAATAGATTTTTAGAGGGGCCATAGCCCAGAGAGCGTTGCCTTCTTGCACCCCAAAGCACATACACATAAAATGCCTGATCACCATCTGTGTATATGATCTCTATCTGCCATAATGGAATCTCATCATCCTTTTGACAAGGGTCTCTCTTCCTTACCAGTCAGATCCATCCCCTCCAGACTACTCCAGGTCTGTATCCCCAATAGTTGCACAGTAGCAAGTAGCTAAGATGGCATTTGAGAAAGAGTCCAGCCAAGCCATGGCCCATTTACTGTGGTCTCTCGTCATTCTCATAAAATCCCAACAACAATGGCCTTTGCCTGCGTCCCCATCTCACCCCATGCCCTGCCAACCTGGGGTCTTACCTCCCATGAGGAAGAGAAGCCCTGCCACATACTGCATAAGGCCTCGGTCCCAGCAGCAGCCCAGCACACCGATGATCCAGCCGAAGAGGATGATGGCCACCGCCATGCCCATGAAGCCAGCCGTCATTCTGCGCAGGTCTGTGGGGAAGCAGGCAGGCAGCAGTCAGCATCAGAGCCTGGGTGTCAGGGCAGAGAGGGGAGAGGAGGGTGTGGCAGGGGCAAGAAGCAACCTGCCCAGCTCAGACAGGCTGACACAACCAAGGGTCCTGGGGAGAGATGGAGAGAGCCTCCAATAGACTCTGTCCCCATGCGCATAAACACAGGACAGCTGGACTCCCATGGCCATGAGAGATCATTGGGATGCAGTTCTCATCTCTCTATCATCACTTTGGCCCAGGCATGGTGCTGTTCTTCTCATGCAACTAATGCGACCTGCTGAGATAGATCTGTCCTTATCCCTACTTGCAAATGGAATGGTTTGCTCAAAGACACACAGCTATTAAGTGGAAGAATAGGAACTCAATTTCTAACCACTGCACCTGCCTGACACTCCCTTCTTTCCTTCTAGCCAGGGTATTCTGGTCTCAGTGGTTGAGTGTGGGGAGATGGCTGCTGGCTGGGGGCAGTGTTGGTTTTCTGTGCCTCTTTGCATGGTGATGGGGGGGGCTGCAGGGTTGGGGAGCCACACTTTCTGCTCTCAGGTGAGCCCCCCAGAGCACACCCCTTTCTCAGTTACCCGTGAGCCTCTCCACCTTGCCATCAGGCCCTTCCCTTGCTCTGCGCCTCCCTGACTGGCAGACAAAGCTGCAGCGGTTCAGGAAGGAAGGAATTGTCTGGAAAGGCAGTATTTTTAGCAGGAGGGAGAGGGCAGAGCTGCTCTCACGTCTCCGTCAGCCACTCAGCATCTTGCTGGGCACGGCTTCCTGCCTAGTTCCCATCCCTGCCCTCAGCACCCAGAAGCAGCCAGAATTCTCTCACATGCCCCACCCTGCCCCCATTTCCTAGCCCCACCCCATCTTCTCAGGGCACACTTTTCTCACCCTGTACTCCTTTTGCAGGTCTCGGCCTTCCTCCTGGGGAATATCCCACCCAGCCACACCGTCCATCCTTCTATCCTGCCCAGTGCCATGGGCAGCTCCCAGGTGTCTTTCCACCTGCTTACAGCAGAGCCTGTTGAGTGCCAGCCCAAACAGCATCCAACATCTAAGCATCAGTCTGACCTCTCCCCAGGGGTCCATGCCCCACTGGGGACTTACATGGCAGCCTGGAGGACTCCAGGGGCATTGTCCTTTCGGCAGGAAGGAGTGGAGATTGAGGGTGGAGGATCCCCAAAACATAGCACTTGGGTATCCCAGGAGAGCATAGCTGCCATTGCCGTCACTCCATTCTCACCCCTGCGGAATGGATCGCCCATGGAAACTGCACAGCTCCAAGTCCCTGGGCTCCTTTCTCTTTCTCTGGCCACCCTCCCTGATGGGAACCACGCATAACACACAAATGTATTAGGGGCACCATTTGCCTTGGAACCCCGTCTGCCACAGTATCTGGTCCTTTATTCTTATCCTGATTTTGAAGGTCAAACACCAGCAGCCACTGCACTGGCCAGAGAGCAGGCAAGGACACAGGGCACAGGTGGAGGAAGGGCCTGCAGAGGAAGGCATAGCAGTTGAGAGGTAGAGTGTGGCATGCTGGTGTCCATGTCTTCCATTACGTGTGTGTCCCAGCCACACTGAAGCCACTCTTACCATAGTCCCTTCCGGGGATGGCCAAGGACACCTAATTGTCATGCAGCACTACACAGACTGCTCCCGTCCCCAAATGGATCAGATGAAACTTTGTGGTGAAAGCGGCGTCTGATTACAATACCAGCTCGTGAGCCACGCTTCCTGCACAGTCAGCCACAGGCAGCTCAGGATCCGGGAAGAATCCCTTATGACTCCCCTCCCCCTCCAGGGGCCAGTGCCACTTTTTGTTGACGCACCTATGGCTGTCCTGCTGCCCTCTCCCTAGACTTCTCTCCACTGCCACCAGCTGTCATGTCTTCGCTCCTTCATCGCGGCAAGGGACTCAAGTGGAGGAGGCATGATTCACCTCCTTTGTGGAGACAAGTTCCCCTGGGCCTAGGTATCCAGATGGAGTATTTCCTGGAAGTGGGATACGCTTTGCACCTGATGCTTCTTCTTTCCACTGTCTTCCAGGACAAGGAGGTGGTGGAAAGCAGAAAAAGAGACCCGTTTAGGGCCCAGCGCAGAGACCTGGCGGCTGAAGTCCTCGCCTTACATGTGCCAGAATCCCATGTGGGTGCTGGAGTGTGTCCTGGCAGCTCTGCTTCCCATCCAGCACTCTGCTTGTGGCCTGGGAAGGCAACTGAGGATGGCCCAAGGCCTTGGGACCCTGTACCTACATGGGAAACCCAGAGGAGTCTCCTGGCTCCTGGCTTCAGATTGGCTCAGTTCTGGCTGTTGCTGCCATTTGGGGAGTGAGTCAGCAGACAGAAGATCTTTTGATCTTTCTCTCCTCCTCTCTGTATTTCTGACTTTCCAATGAAATAAATAAACCTTTAAAACAAACAAAGACCAGCTTATTTTCAACGTCAAGGGGCATTTCCCTTTAGGGGTCTGCCCTTCCCTTTGGAGTGCATGGAGCATTTCTAGGAGCAATCGGGTCCTCCTCGGGCAGGCAGCAGGCAACCCTGGTGAGCCTCCCCTGTGGCTGGGCTGACTCTCAGGAATAGGTCTGCACTTCCCCTGCCTGGCTCTGTAGGAGCGTGGCAGCCAAACTGCTGCCTGGGGATGCCATGGATAATGGGCCACTAAAGGTGTGTCCACTTCAGCCAAGGTGGGAAAGTGGGCTGGGCAGGAAAATGCAAATCAGAATAGGAGGGACTGTGACAACTGCTTGGAGGATGAGAGCAAGGTGTTTTGAAAACGGGACAAAGGCAGAACAGGAGAGAAGCCAAGGGAATAACCGAATAACTGGGAGCAAGTTCCCAGTTAGACATCAGTCCTTTGGCCCCAGGTGGGCCCAGGTGGGGAGCGGCTGTTGCCCTCTCTTGCGAATTCAGGACACCTGGCTGTCTGCAGAAGGGCTTCGTCCTCAGAGGCTGTGGGTTGTGCTAAGCTGTCATCTGGAAATGGGCATAAGAGCCAGAAGTCCTACTTGTGCAATTTCATTGACCCAGGGGGATTTTCCCATCACCCTGTGCACCTGAATTTGCCTGAGCTGTGAATGAACAGCTGGCTGTTTTGTCTTGAGGCATCTGTGGGAGCTCAGCGAAGCTGCAATAACAAATATCCTAATTTTATAGGTAGGAAGGCAGGGTCCGTGAAAGTTAAGCAGTTGATTGACAGTCTCAAAACCAGTCAACTGGAAGAAGAATGAGTTGCATTATTCAGTTATGTGGGAAAATAATGGTTATAAACCAGACTGAAGCATTTCTTCCTCCCATAATAAAGGCAGCATAATGGCTGAGAGCTTTTTTTTTTAGGAGATAGAAATCTATAGGAAGAGGAGATTAGGAATAGAGACAATGACAACAGTAAAAGGCAGCACTACAGAGCCAATGGACGGTGTAATTAGATTTAGCAAAAACCATGTCCGAAGCCGGCCTCAGTGCAGCCAACAGCCAACCCGTAGAGTGCTCCAGAGGTGTGTGAGGTGGCACCTGCAGGTCACTTCGATTTGTCTTTAATGATTTATTTATTATTTTTGAAAGGAGGAGTTAAAGAAAGACAGAAGGAGTGAGACTGAGATGTTCCATTCGCTGATTCAGTTCCCAAATGGTCACAGAGTTGTGGCTGAGCCAGGCTGAAGCCAGGAGCCTGGGAACTACATTTGGGTCTCCCACATGAGTGCTGGGAACTCAAGCACTCTGGCTAGCTTCCTTTGCTCTCCCAGGTACATTAGCATGGAGATGAATGAGAAGAGGAGTAACTGGGACTTGAACCAGTGGCCACGTACTCACACAGGATGCTGGTGTGGCACCAACAGGTCCCTTTGAGTCAAGCAGTTAAGCAGGGGCGAAGGGAAATGATTTTAGTGGAAGTTATCTGAGAAGGCATCAGATTGCTTGATGATCTTGCCCAGTCCTGGGTGTGTTGAAAGGCAGCAGGCCCAGGTAAAGGCAGGACTGGATGCTGTATCCAAGCACGCTACGATGCCCAGAATCTGCGACTGACTCCGCACGGACTGCCTACTGGTGCTGCACGTGGGAGAGATCCCTAGGCCACTCCTGGGCGGCTTGCTGGAGTTGGTCGCCAAGCTTTGCTCTCTGGCCTGGATGAGGAGAAATGACTTTTTGAGATGCCCATGTAGAACAGAGACTAGAGACACTGTCTCCTGGTCTGGCTCCTAAAAGGCCCCTCGGACCACCCTACAGCAAAATCCCATGTGAACTTGGCATTCACCTACTTCCTCAGGAAGCTCCTCAGTGCCCGACTGGTGAATGTAGCAGACAGGCTAAGCATGGTTGAGGACAACTTTAGGGAGAGAAACTGCAGGGAGAAGAAAAGAGCCCCAATCCTGATTAATGTCCCCGGGGAGCAAATAGCAGGAAGGTGCTGCTTACATGAAATAAGACAGTCCAGGCTAAAAACAATCAACACGATGCCCCGAAATAAGATTAGAGCATCAAAACCCAGGAAATTTATATTATAAATTCAATATTAATTAAGATATTAATGTTTCTATCCTACATTAAGAGAGGCTTAGGCTAATAAAATGCAAAGCAGGATAAAATGATGATGCTGAATAATGAAGTGGAGGAGAGCAAAAGCAAGCAAAGCAAGAGGGAGGGACCAGGGTATCATCTTCTAGCACAAAGCTCCTTGGTGAAGCCCTCCAGAAAATCATCATGCAGGTACTTCAAAAAGTTTGTGGAAAATGCAATTAAAAGATAAATTGATTTTGGTGCAAAAATATTATAATCTATGCATAGTCTTTCTAGAATGAAAGCAAAACACATTTTCCGTGAAATGCTTCAAGGCCCTGATTATCCCATATTTAAACGTAAAGACATTACAATGCATCATTTCCATTGCCTTTAAATCTCCATAGCTTTTTATTTGCACTTCCTTTAGTCTCAACGGCCGTTGCCTATAGAACGTCCCGCATACAGAGGGCTCCACTCCTGCCCATCT